TGGAGAAACAGTATATCACAGTTTTTAGAGGAAAAATGGGGCGGTAACACTACAAAAGTAGGTTCTAATAAGGAATGTGTCTATCCCTATACGTTGGTGACAGCAGTGTTTTAAGTTGTCAGTCAGTGAAATGGGAAGCAATGACCAGCCACGCAGTAATCCTTGTTAAAACTCATCTAACGACCTTGGAAGAAGAATTAAAACAGCAACCTGTCTCCCAAGATACTCCCAAAGATGTGTATTGAATTCAGCTCTGGATTCTTAGTCCTCTTGCCACTAAATGATCTGCCATGAGCTGAGGCTCAGTAAGGTTACTCCTCCTTTGGGCTGAAAGAGCTAAATAACGGTCTCCTGCAGGTGTCATAAATCTAGGTCTGCCTGGAACAGGTCTTCTAGACACAGAATCTCTGGATTCAAACTGATTCCATAGTTGGAGAGACATTGAGATGTCTAGCAGCATCAGCTTGTGACATTCCCATTTCCATCCATCTGATCGCCCACCACCTCAACAAATCGGACAAACGACTTCTCCTGGCCATTGATCTTCTGGATATTGTCCTTGAAACTGCAATAACAACTGAAAATCAACACTCGGGAACAAAAATTATAATTTTTGCATTTTTTCTCCAACTGCTATATAAGTATTCATTTCTGTAAAATAAAATTGGTAGCTACTGTTTTATTGCATATATTTTCTTAAACTTTGTTACTCTCATGCATATGAACTGTGAATTTAAACTTCACTGACATTTTTGTAGTGGTTAGCTTTGAAAAAAATGCTGTTCCTTAACTTTTGGAGGGCACTGTATATATTAACACTGCAGCAGAAATGTGTAATTAGCACTAAAACTGCATTGTATTCTCTGTAGTTACTGCTACATGAACATTACAATTCCGGTTATTTTTTCTTCAGCGATAATACTTTGTTAATGTTGAACAAAATTTAATTAAACTGCAGAAAGAAACCAACTAAATAGAAAAAAGTTGTTGCTTATTTGTATTAATATTTATCTTAAGAATTTCTTCATTTGTATAATATTTTCCTTCTTGTATCAAATAATAAGTAGACATAATGAGAAGGTAGGATTCCAAACCATTATAAAAAGCTCTGTATCTGTTGAAAATTCTGGCTATTTTAAAGAAATGTTTAGGTAATACACAAAATTATCCCTATTTTTTATCCCTAAACTGAAAGGGTTGTTTTGTAGCGATAGAGCCCATACCATACGGAGACAGATAAAACAGACCTTAAATTTCTAAACCCGGCGGTAAAGCAGTTGTACCAGGAAAATAACTTTCTTTAATGCAGTTGTGCTACAACTGTCGTACCAGCCACCCCCTCCCTATTTTAGAGAATAACCTATCTGTAGATATCTGGGTGGTCCATTGTTGCTGCTCAGAATAGCTGCTGGCTACACATTGTTTCCATCTTCTTATCAGTTTGGCTACATTTTGGCAAAAACCGCAGGTAAAATCAAATAGAAGCCATCTCTTTCTCAAACATTAGAGCACTGTGTAATAATTTCAGTGCTAACTTTTTTAGTACTAACTTTTGCTATGATTAAAACGTCAGCGATTTTGCACGCTGTTTAAGCTTACCAAATTTTATGCTTTTTAATCATAGCAAATAAGATTAGATTAATATTTTAGATTTAATGCCCTTCTAGAAAATAGATAAACCACTTTTATTGTTTACTTCCTTTTTATACTTATGAATAATAAGATGTTATTTTTACCCCTTTTTTTTTTTTTTTTGGAGTGCATAAAACCCTTAAGAACTGTTAACTCTTTCAAAGTGCTTCTATTATATAGGCAATTTTGTCTGATTTATGAGGAGATAAATAAGAGACAATTTCATGCATAATAGTTTTTGTGATTTTCATTCAGTCAATGATTTCAATAATTTCATCCAATTGTTGCTTTGAATAATTTTCATTCATTGTAAATTAAATAAAACCAATTTATCTTTAGACCCTCTTTTAGGATGGCATCTACCAAAAAGTATTTAAATATCATTAAAGCTCACGTAACTTCTACTAAATTGAATCAAAACATGAGTTACTTTGCATAAAATTTCGGCCAGTTTTATTTGCTGAAATTCTTATACTCCTCATGAGATGAAGGGAATTCAGACAAGTTAATAAAAAATTTATCTTTAAAAAAGGAATGTTATTTTGTCTGTAATAAGGTGTATGTCAACTTACTATTAAAAATATGAGAATTAGGATTGGATTACGGAAAAGCACGCGAACGCTATCTGCTTAAGGGTGGGATGCTTCCATGTAAACCTTTTTAAGAGAAAATTGCTCGCATTTACGTTCCTGATGGAAAACTCCACATGTAATTAACCCGTTCTCCAGGTTTGATTGGATTAATTTTGTTCGCTTACTGAATTACATCAAAGCACACAACAATTACCTGTATAAAGGGATGAATGCCTTCACGGAGGACTTTCTAAGGGAAGCTGGCTTGTATTTACGTTACACAAAAACCATGAATCCAACCCTTTAGCTGGGATTCAAACCTGAGCGAACTACAAGTGTTCAGCCACCTTTACCGCGCTACTGAAGTTACTCTAAAAAAATTGATAAAGAAAAAGTATTGAAATGATCAGTTCAATTTACTAACCTATATTTCTCAATCGACAGTACATAAATTAGGCATATGTGGGGATTATTTGTGAATAAATAAGCTGTATTGCACTATTCTCCACTATTTCATATTACGATGGAATTATTGCATTTCAAAGTTATTTCTCATGAATTAAGTCATGAGAATGTTCATTCATGATTTTTTATTTTTCAAATTGAAAATTTCACACTTTAAATAAAAAATACACGAGAAGATACATTATGCAAAATTTGGCGTAAACAATTTTCTTAATTTTGCTTTGAAAATAAAATTCCAGGGCAATCATTTTATTAAGGAAGAAAGAAAAAAACTACTAGTGTCATACCCAGTATGCCTTTATCTTTTGTTTTGAAAACGGGAAAAATTACTCTTTCTAAAATAAATTAGAAAATATATTATGTGCAAATAAAATATTCGTTGAAAATGAAATAGACTTCAACCTTTGGATATAACGATGGTTTTAGATGAAATTTCTGTCTATGAAAGGAAGTTGATGTATAATTCTTGGTAAACATTTAAAACTGTATTAAAAAATACTTTTGATGATTGCATGTATAGGTCACAGATTTTTTTTTTCTCTGCTAACATAAACAAAAGCCAATTTTACAAAGAAAAATTCTTGTTAAAGATATACCTCCTTTACCTGATAGTCCAATGTAATATTTGTTAAAGTTAAATGATGAAATGCAACCAATGTATCTATGATTTTCTTTTTTATATTATAATAACAAAATTATTGAAAAAAGCAGATTTAATGCTCTGTTACTGTTATGTAAAGCTTTATTATTGCTGTAAGTTCATCTCAAAATCTTAATTGTATTGAATCTCATTCTAATCATTTAATAGTAATAAATATTATTATTTCATTAAATTAATCATTACCATTATTTTGTTAATGAAAATATGTTATTAAAAATTGCATTCCAACCTGCAGACTTACAAAGCTAGTTCATATTTATTATATTTTGTAAAATTTTGTTTTTGTTGTCTAATTTCTAATGCAAAAATATACGAATATAAATGAAGTGTGAAAACTAAGTTATAAAATTCACAAATTATTGCAAAGAATGATCAGAACTAGTAAATGAAATATAAACATTGCGTACATTTTGTTCTAAATAGAATTTCTTTAGAACTTCATTTAAATGAAAGCAAAATAATCATCGAAAAAATCGCAAATCTAGCAACCCATCTACTATGGAACAGCGCCGACAAACATGTAAATTTTATTGCATCCATGGAGGGGACTAACGACTTTTCTCATTAGGAAAATGTGAAAGAGAGGGTAGAAGTGTTTTGGATCGCGCTGGTCTGAAGGCTATATTATAAGAATTTCGGCCCGGTTTTAGAAGGTTAATTAAGAACGCGAGTTCACAGTAAAAATTTAAGTTGGTTAACTGGTAGAAAGGTTAGAAAATGGCCCCAAATATCTACAAATTTTACTGATAAGGGTACAGAACTTTTTGTTATTAAGTAATCAAAGCAAAATAAATATTTTAGTAAATAAAACTTATACTTCTTAAGGGGCATTTAATTTTAACATGTTATAGAATTGCTGTCATATAATTCAATTTTTTATTTTAAGGAGCTCTGTAATTGTTGTCAATGATTAATATTTAAGTAAATGAAGTTGTAGCCACCTTTCTCAAATTTCTGCACTATATATTTGACATTTACTGTTTTAGCTTTAACAGTGTTATTTTCATTTTGGAGTTATCAACAGTTAGTGTATATAAGCATTATTTTTTAGAATATTGTTACTTGTCATGTGGTCTTGTGATTTGCCTTAAGCTAATTATTTCCACATGTACATGCTAAGAACTATTGCTTCAAATTATTTAATACCAGATTCATAGGAAGCTGTAACTAATAATCATTCCTTAAATAATCTCTATCTTCTTAAGTGGACTTTCAAAATCTCTATTAGAAAAGATATTAATTAGTGAAAATATGTAAGTTTTAGTTATTTCTTTTGTAGTTTCTTATTGTAAGCTGTTTCTGATTAATGTTTTTCTGGTTAGTACTGATTTTGATTTTCAAATTTGATTTGTCGGTGATAATGCTCTGAAGTATGTGAGACTAAAGGTTCAATGTTGAATTGCATTTTTTGCTGACAATTTTAGGGAAAAAAAATATTTTCCGTATTACAGACTGCTTTTTCTTTAACCTTTAACTGAGCTGTTAAGTATAGAAACAGAGAATTATGTTCTATGTAAAGGAAACTCTCTGATAAGCCAATCTGTGCAGTTTGAAAATCTATTATGCCTGCAAATCAGAACTTGCTATTTTGAAATTCTGTTTTCTGTGAATTGCATAAATTATAAAATATGTTATAATGTTTTCATCTGTAATGAAGTTATATGTTTCAGCTGTATGATAGGATAAGTTCACGATTATACAGTCCTGCCAGGTGTCCTGTGTCAGATGCCTTACCTGCAGCTAGAGAAGTAAGCATTTTATTTTATTACATCTGTGCATTTATTAAAAATTTCATTTGTAAGTTATGCAGTTTTTCTTTCTGCAGTTTATAGCTTTATTGAAAATGAAGATATAATAATGATAAGTAAGAAACATTTTATTGTTTATAATTTTTCTACCTCTATAACTTTTTGACATTCACTTTAGATTATTGTAATCTTTCCATTCAAAAGAATGAGGGGATATTTTTGAAGTTTCAAAATGAATTACTGAAACTGGTCCACATATATGTATAGACAAATAACTAACTCATCCCACTTGCTTCATTGTTGCGATTATTATGAATTTTACCACTGTCAGTACAAAAGCCATGAAGACATTGATGCAAAACCATGTGAAGAAGAGAGATGTAGTCTATTAAAAAAAGGGAAAAAGAGAAAAGAATTGCAATAGGTTGATGCTTGTTGTAGGGATACTAGCTGGTTTTATGTGTGCCATCCTCTATTAAAAGGTCAGATTAATGCCTTTTTGATAAATATGACTAACTGCTTAATTTAAGGTACACTGTTAGATGCTGATAGTGAGGTACTATGAAGTAAACAATCACATGCTGCTGACGTTATATCAACAGCATTCATCAAGACTATTCCTATTTTCCAATCTATGCCTCAGCTATCCAGTTGCTAAAACTGGAGAATGCTTATACAGCGTGAATCTGAAGTGAGCAAAATTTAGGAAGTGATAGAAGGTAGCTATACAAGCAATATTCGTCATATAATATATGGTCGGAATGCAAATGACGAGCCTCTAGGTGGCATTGTAAATGGTATAAAAAGGGTCAGTCCTCGCACCCAACAGCATTTTCTACCGTGGATTGCCCAAGAGAATAGCTGGTTATACAAACCACTGAAGTTCCAGCGCAATGGATTGGTCGAGGTGGTCCCATAGCTTGGCCACCAAGATCATCAGATCTCTCGTGTTTGGGCTTTTTACTGTGGAGCCATATGAAAAGTCTAATCCATGAGTGCTCCTTTGAAACTAATGTGGATCTAGTCGCCAGGATCATTGTTGTTGATGGCGATACTTGGGAAATGCCTGGTGTCTTCACAAATGTGCATTAGTCCCTATCCTGCAGGTGTGAAGCCTGCATTACAGCTTTGAGCAATTTCCATGTACTTTGTGGGGGAAAAAATGGGACAGTTCTATATCTCCCGCTGTACTGGGCCAATTGACAAAATTCAACTTGAGTTTTTCATGTTTCGAAAGCACACCTTAGGATATATATTAGATTCGTATCATTCTAGCATCGGTATTTTGACACAAAATCTGATTTTTTTTATGTCAATTTTTTTCTATATTTCGATTTTATCATTCATATTATGCCAAACTGCCAAGTTTTGTAAAAATCGCAGTAGTAGTTTTTAAAAAATTAGCTCATCATTGTTAATTGAATTTGATTTATATTTATTAATCTCTCTTCTTTTATTAATCTTGCTTGATTCCTTCTTCCAAAATTTGAAATTTATGCTTAATCCAAATATAATTCGCACATTTTTTATGATTTATTTTAAATATATTTTTAAAAATTTTTTCAAAGAAGTTTTGATATAAAATTTTAACATTGTCTTAAAGTAGATTTATTTCTAGGCACACATGCAAAAAATTAGAGTTTTTTTTTTTTTTTTTCAAATGTTCTAAGATATACATGAATTTACATATTCGAGCATTTTGAAATTTGGCATCTTGTTTTTTAACCAAATGTGGTTTAGGCACTTTGTTAAAATCTTTGGATGTTGAAGGATGACTTTTTCCCCACTCCTCAGGCAATGAAAAAAAGAAAAGGAAAATAGGTTGCTATAAACTAAGAAGTTCACCAAGTAAATTTTTCTTGGCAAAAACTGAAAAAATATGCAAAGATAAATTTTTGAATTTTTCCGTAAATTTTGCACCAAATTTTACAAAATTTAATATTTAGGCATAATTTGAGTTGTGGAATTGAAATATGGAAAAGATTTGGCATGTCATATCAGAAAAAGACCGATTTTGTGTCAAAATACCTATGAGAAAATGATGTTATATACAAATCTAATATATATCCTAAGTCGTGCTTTCGAGACATGAAAAACGCTATTTGAATTTAATCAATTGGCCCAGTAGAATGGGAGATGTAGAACTGTCCCCTCCCTCTCTCTCTCTTTTTTTTGGGAGGAGGGGGTATGTGTGTGCAGTATACATCAGTTACATTCCTGTTAATAAAATGTTTTCTGAAGTATCTCATCTCATTCTTGTGTTAATTCTTTAACTGTGACAGTGGAAAACTACACTTTAACTTCTCATCGCTTGTGTACTGAACATACATTCTAGGACGAATATTGCACATAAAGCTGTCGTCTATCACCCCCTAAAGTTCTGCCCACTTGTTCAGATTCACCCTGTAGTAGATCCTCAGTTTAACTCCCCTTTACTTTATAAGCTAATTGGGTTTCTCCCATTTACAACATAAATATGAGCAATTTTCCCTTAGACTCTTTTTATAAAACATAAGCTCATAAGGTAAATGGCCCTCATATGTTTTCGTGTAATGAATTCTGTGACTTTTTTCTTGAAAAGAATGATTCCCAACATTCCTTGGCTGAAAACCATACTATATGGGTTTGAGTCTTGATTGAAAGATGGACATTTATGACAGTATGGTGTCTCTGCAGAATTGCAGCACTTGAAATCAGTTGCTCTGAAATCCTTTCAAAAGGTGCATTTTAGGGAAATGAGAAAAGATATGTGAGATAATAAGGATAAGGCAGTTGTTCATCTTTCCATTTTTTGAAGTGTTCTTCGTCAAAACTGGATTTAAATTTAGTTAGATAGCCTTCTTTTGATTTAGCGTAAGAAATTCAGTCTGCACTTGATTTGTTTGCGTAGATGCTAAGATATGATTTATAAATTGACACATTGACTCGCAAATCGTTCAAGTCTGTTTCTTTGGATTTTCTTGATTTCATTTCACTGAATTAGGAAAGAATTAGAATTTGGAAAGGAAACAAAATATTAATATGTATGTCCAGAGTTTAAAATTTTACAACAGATTTAAAATTTACACAGATTACAACACAGGCTAATAAACACTGCTTTAAATATTCAAGAAGTTTAAGTTCAGATCTTGGAAGCACATAGCAAATAGAAATCCAAATCTTGCCTGCTCAGGATTCAAAATTCCTGTCTTAGCGTACCTTACCAGAGCACTATTTTCATTAAGCAGTAATTCATACTTTTCATATCTGTAATATTATCTGGCCTAATAAATCCAAGTTTGCGAAGCTGTTGATCTTTGATGTTATGTACAAAAATAAGAAATTCCAACAGTGTCATGGATCAGTCTCTGTATCATCATCTGCTTTTTTCATATACTAATTGTTATTGCTGATGTTGTCAGGACTTGTGTTTATCTTGATTTGCTTTGGAAACATGATGTGTCCTGTTTAGGAACAGGGAGCTTACTCAAGCTATGTTCAAGATTTGTGTGTAACAGATGACACAAGCAGGATGTCTTGCACTAAGACTGGCCGTTATTTAAAAGGGGGTATGTATGTAGTACGCCGAGCTGCTGAAACTACAATACATTTTCAAATATCAAGTGGGCTAAACCTCTGGCTTTAAAGGCAACCAGCAACCAAGTGAAAACTCGTAAAACTGCAGTGGCAAGCAACTTGCTTCCTAAATCTCCTCTCTCTCCTCTAACTCTTGGCAAAAAGCCACAATTTAAATACTTGGGTGTTAGCAAGACAATTTGCATAAACAAAAAACATAGTTACCGCCGCATGATCAGAATACACTGTTACTGGCGCACTCCCAAAATAGACTCGGAATTTCTGCACTGCTAACAGAACTGCAAGTGCCTCTCTCTCAGTCGCTTAATAATTTCTTTGAGTTTAATTTAAAGTTCTACTAAAAAATGCCACCTGCTGCTGATTTTGGGAAAGTACTGCTCCTACCGCATAATACGAAGCATCTGCTGAAATTTCTAAATTCTCGTCGTTCTCAGAAAATTTCAAAAGAGGGGTTTTTGTTAACGCTTGTTTTAATTTTTCAAACGCACTATTGGCTTCGGCCGTCCACGAGAATCTTGCCTTTTTGCTTTTTAATTTTAACAGTGGTTCAGCAATAGTTGCAAAGTCTTTTATAAAGGACCTATAATATGAACAGAGTCCTAGAAAAGAAGACAGCTTCTTCGCCGTATTTGGCGGCGGATACTTTTGAATGGCGATTATTTTTGATTCGTCCGTCTTGATTCCTTTCTGAGATATTTTAATTTCAAGAAAACTTCATAAAAAACATTAATGCAAATGAGATTTAGGCTTATTTCCACTATACATAACTGATTATTTTTAGCATTATTTTCAATGGAAATGTTAAATTGTAATTTAACATATATCAAGTAAAAAAAAAAAAATTCATGACCAGATAAAGGTAGTCATGCCACGTAGGGTTAAACCATCTCCACCATGTTCATCAGAAAGCTGGCCACATTTATCATCTTATTTTCATAGAAAGTACACTTTCTTGGAAAACTACCTCCATTCATCTCGCTTTTTATGGGAATAATGGGAAGTAACATCCGGTGAGATCTGGACCAGGGTTCGTAGCGGTCCTTATAAGTGCTTATGAGTCCTTATATTTGAAAATAAAATATAAAGGCCCTTATAGGTGCTTACTTTTTCTTTAAAGCCCTTATTTTTTTTGTTTTTTTTTAGTGCTTATTTTTTGCTTTTAGTGCTTTTTTTTTAATGAACGCGCTATTTTTCCCTGTACCAAAGCCGAAACTAAATAAACAACTTTTCTTCCTAATATGGAATGTCAGATGGTGAATCATACTCCCGGAAATAGCTTTTCCCCCTTTCTCTGCATTAACATAACCTTTGGTGTGCACGAAGAGTACAGACAGGTAGGTGCCCGTCGTTCTATTGGTCAAAGAATTGCGAAAGCAGTAGAAAATTCCGGTACATTCGGCATTCTTTTCCTCCCACCCAAATAC